TGGAGGCTGGCCAGTCTGACATTAAGGTTCTGGTGTCTAGTGAGGGCCCTCTGTTGCACCATGTGATGGAGGGCATCCTGTGGTGAGAGCAGTCTCTTTTGTGACAAAAATCACCCTCTATAACTCACCCACCCTCACAGTAACAGCATCAATCCACTCGTGAAGGTGGAGCCAATAACAGCATTAGTCCACTCAAAAGGGCGAAGCCCCCAGGATTCAGTCATCTCTTAAAGGTCCTATGTCCCAGTACCATCACAGTGGCACTTAAATTTCAACATGAGTTTTGGAGGGGATGTTCAAACCATAGCACCACTAACCGTGGTCTCTAAAAGCAGAGACCATATTTGTATTACTTATTTTCTTCTTGGTGTCTAGAATATGCTGACATCACATACCTAGTAAATTCATGCAAATGAATGGCTGCTTATTGAATGAGTGGGAAATTCTTTGACTGTTTCTGGGTGATCAAGGAGCACAGTACTCTGGCCCATATTTCCATAGATCTGCCAGCCAAAGGGGAAGAGAGAAGCTGGCTAATTCAGTGAAATAACACCTCAAGCTGATCTCAGATGAAGTTACAGACAAATTTATTAACTTCAAATCCTTTAAGTGTATTAGTCCAGATGACCCTAGGTGCTGTGAACGGATACTTCAAAATCTCAGCTGTTTAATGCAATTGACGTTGTTTCTTATTTACTTAGTGACTAGTTCTTAACCTGAGGGCTCTGTCTGAGACTCAGGTTTATAGAGGCCCTACTGCCTACGTGGGTGTTTCTGGCTGTCAACATTTAACAAACACACCAGGGAGGGGAAAAAAATGAAAACTTTCTTTTTTCAATATCTTTATTTATTTTTTTATTTATGTGGTGCTGAGGATCAAACCCAGTTCCTCATGGATGGTAGGCGAGCACTCTACCTCTGAGCCCAAAATCCCAGCCTCCCCCCCCAAAAAACCCCGAAAACTTTGTAGAGATGTTGAGGGTCCATCTAAAGAGATATGCATCACTTCCCTTGCATTCTAGTGACAAAACACAATCTTTGAGCCCAAGTAGGTGCAAAGCAGGCTGGGAAATGTAGTTTCTGGCTAGGTAGCCACTATCTACACTATGGAAGGCAAACAAGAATACCTGGTGGTCAGCTAGTTGTCTCTGCCACAGGAGGCAACTTTTAAAAATTTTGATTATAATTGATGTCACTTGTGGAGGTCAGGAGTGTGGCTTCAAAGATGACCTAGAGATATCAGTGTGTAAATTCAATTTGATGACTGTGTAAGGTAGATCAATTGAATTTTCAGTTCTATGAACATCTCCTTTTTAAAAACTTCATCCACTTTAAAAAAAAATGTAGACTCATTTCCTATATTCAAAGACTCTTTAGAGGTAGATGGAAAACAGGAGATCAAAAATTATAACTGGCCCCAGGAGAAGACCTCTTGCTGTCAGAATTGTTTAAATCCTCTCCTGAACAGTAGCCCCAATCGTCACCAAACTACTAACTCTGATTTACTTTAAGATAGAATCAAAGTTCCTGCATATCCTCAGTAGAGAATCAAAGTGCTGTATAATAATCCAACCCACTTCCCCACGAACAAGAAATGTTCTCTCATCTCCAAAGTGCCATGTCTGTTCAGAAATCTTTGCCAGCTTTCTTTTTATCAAACTGTAAAATCATATTTCTCAATCCACTGGTTTAAATGAGGCATAAGTATGAATTTAGACATCAATCTCTACTGACTCTGAGAATATTATCCTATTTTCCTATAAGAGGATTAGGGATACAATAATATTTTTTATAGTATTTAACTAGTCTACTAGCTTTTGATATGAATGTAGCTATAAATAAGCCAAGATACACATTATTTTTTTATAGATTCTAATGTAACATTAATGCTATGATTCTAGCTTTGAAGGGCCACTATCCATAACAATTAATATTTCTTTCAAAGATATATGTCTAGTACACACAGATTCATCTCCCCCCCCCATCTTTTATCAAAATAACTTAAGATTTTAGATCAGTGTTTTGTGGTTTTGAATCACTTACCCTGGGATATTCTGTATGTAAAGAAGAATTTGGCTTGTCAATTGAGTTTGGGATTGCTCTAGAATGTATACTTCTTTTGAGATTAATGATTTACAATAGCAAATTAAAAACTGAAACGCATCATAGTGTAGAACTCTGTTAATCTTCAACTAGTCGGCACCCTAACTATGCACCATGTTTTGTACACATTTACTCATTCAGTTCTCACAGTGGCCCAGTGAAGTAGGTTACTATATTCTAGTCACAGATCAGGAACTAAGGCCCATAGCAAACAAGTAACTTACACAAGATCATAGTCATTAGGAGAGGCTAGCTCTTGAACCAGGTCTGTGTGAGGCCAGACAGATGATATATTGAGCCATGAACCGCCTCTTGTTTAAAATAATACTAGAGGCAAGCAGCTACCCCTGAGCTGTGTGTCTCTTTTTATTTTGTGATAGGATCTCACCAAGTTGCCCAGGCTGGCCTTGAACTTGCAATCCTTCTGCCTTGCCTCCTGTTAGTTGAAGCTGGGATTGCAGGCATGCACACTACTGCTGGCTTAAATAATACCTCTTAATATGCTGTGGCTTTTAGAGGAATTAGGATCAAGTCAAAGGATGTAACTTTCCCTTCTGAAAGTTGTACAGTCAGTAGGAATAATTAAACTCCTGGACTTACAGTGAAAGAACGAAGGGAGGAGGAGAGAAAAGGAGGGAGAGGGGAAAGAAAGAAACAAACAAAAGCATTCCCACACAGGCTACACCACGCACATGGGTGCCCTGAGTGTGAATCTCCACACAGTACCCTGAGAGGCACAGCCCTGCCAGGCCTCTGAACCGTCTCTGCATCATCAGGGTGCTGGGCGCCATGCTGGATCACAGCTGTCTGCTCCATTCTCGCCTCTCACAGTTCCTGAACTGCTTCTCTGTGAAAGGATGTGCTGGTGTAAGGGGAGGCACATGGATGAGACGCTACGGTCTTGTCCATGAGGAGTCTGCAGCACCGTGGAGAGATGGGATGGAGGTGGAAGTGGGGGCCCCAGGGCTGTAATGGGAAGGCTCATGAACCCCCCAAGGGTTGGCTGGCACAGCCCTGGAGTCAGCCTTCCTGGTTCAGATCCTGGCTCCCCTGTGACCTTGAGGAATTATTTGACTTCTCCACATCACAATTTCTTCACACTTAAAATGGGAAGGATAATTAGCCAACTTCACAGGGTTTTATGGGGATGAAAGGAGTTGAAACACATAAAGTACTTAGAAGCCTGTCTGAAACACAAAAGCATAAGTGCTAACAAAGATTCCCAGCCCAGGGCTGAGGCCCCCTTCATAAGAACAGCGTTAACAGTGCAAAGCAGCCACAGGAGACAGATGGCCAGGGTTCCAGGCCAAGCTCAGCTGCCTTCCAGCTGCACTACCACAGACAAGTTAGCACCCTCCCCAAGCCAGATGAAAGGACATGGGAACTGTGAGACACTCAGCCTGTGACTTAGCAAGAACATCATCCATGCTGGCAATGATCGCTGTTGTGGTTAATGACTGCGAGACCTCAGGGAGGACTGAAGTTTTCCAGGTGAAGGAATTGGAAAAGACATCCAGGTGAAGGGGATGTTTGCACTGACCAGTTGGCGTGTGCCTGGGTTTTCGTGAGGCTGAGCAGAGTTCTGGCTGTTGGGAGACCTGCTCACCTCCTGCGTACGCACCTCCAGCTCTCCTTCCTTTTTTCCCTTTATAGCTACACCTGGCAGGACGATCACAAAACAAAACACAACTGTCCGAAGGGAGAAGGAGAAGAGGAGGGAAAATGGAAAAGAAGGGAAAGGAAAGAGGAGAGATAGGTATAGATAGGTTTGGTGTGTGTGTGTGTGTGTGTGTGTGTGTGTGTGTGTGTGTGTGTGTGTGGCAGAGAGAGAGAGGTAGATCATTCTGCAGTTCCCAAACCTTCCATGGCTCCCTGCTGTTTTCAGTATATACTCTGCCTCCCAAGTCTGGCTTTCAAAGCCTTCTGCTACTTAGACCCAAGCACTCACTGCCCTCCTGGCCAGGATGTGCTGAACTTGCCTTCACACCTTGGTTGCTATTCCTCCTAATCTACAAGATTTGGGCCCAGCCAGTCCCCTTTCTTAAGACCCTAAGCCCCGCCTCCTCCTGTTGTCTTTCTCTCCACATTGGATCCTACTCTCGGCTTTTGCTTCTCTGAACACCTTAGGCCCACTTACTTGTCATTTCTTGGGTTCTATGTGCGTTTCATGTCTTCCCTAGTAGACCAGAGGTGTTCTCAGAGCAGACGCTCTCTTGGACTTCTTAGTGTCTCTCTCAACCCCGCCACACACCAACACCAACGTTTTTGCTCAAAGCCTTGTTTGTACACAATAGGGATACAATAAATATTTGCTGAAAGAGCTTAGAAAATGAGTTGGAAATAATAACCTGTTGCTATTTGGGAAATTAATGATATTTAACCTTAAGCACAACTACTATATCCTCACTATTATAATAGTTTATACTTGGAATAAAGAGAAATAAATAAAGGATAAAGTAACAGTCCTAGGAAGTTAAATCTAGATAGAAAAATGTAGGTAACCTAAAAAAAAAGGCAAAAGGAATATAATATTTAAATCATCTGATTTCAACTCTAGTTCAGAATGAGCCCACAGAAAGAAACCACCCTTAGACTTAGGTGGAAAGGTTTGACCTTGTAACAGCTGTGGGGAACTGAATCCTCACAACCCTGGCTTGTATTATACAATTAAGCTGTGTAATCAGTTAACCCCTCACATCTCCAGGGGGCTAGTTTCCAGATATACCCCACCATTATAGCGAGTTTCACCGGGGTGTTAGGGATGGAAGGACCTGGGAAGTTTGGTTCTTGCTGTTGCTGTCTCCTGAGATGTTGGTGTACCTCATGAAGGTGTGATGCTGAGCTCCTTGCTCTCCTACCTGGCCCATCTTATGTCTCCACCTTTTTCTTACTAACAGATTGGTTACTGGAATGAAGATGACAAGTTTGTCCCTGCAGCCACCGATGCTCAAGCTGGGGGAGATAACTCCAGCGTTCAGAACAGAACATACATCGTCACTACAATCCTAGTGAGTCCTCTGTCGAGGTTGCTTGGGATTCAAGCCAGACTAGCAGAAAGGTTTTCCACCAAGAGTGAGAGCTGGTCATTCCTTTTGCCAAAAACTGTACCATAGATAAACATAGAAATTGGAAAAGGGGATACTCTGTAAATAAGAGGCCCTGAATTTTCACTCTGCATCTCTTAGACTCATTATGTCCTTGGATAAGCCAATGCATGCTCTGGGGCCACTCTCCTCATATATGACACTTAAGGGTGACACAAAGTGGTGCTGGTTTTCATACTCCACCCTGCCTCAGTAGAAGCCTTTGCACCCCTAAGTCTAGCACAGAAAGGACAGAGAAATAAAACTGCTGTGATTTTCAGTGGTTGATAATGAGAAATCTGAAGCCTATTCTTGATCTACTTCCTCTTTTCCCAGAATTATCTAAAATAAATAAATAAATTCAAACAAGAGCTCCAAGAACATTATTTAAAAAGCCATTCATCATATTTCAGTGGAGAAACATTCTTATGTTTTAAAAGCTTTTGATTCCATATCCCAAGATGTTTATAAATGGATGCAGAAATTCAGGAAATAGATCTAGGGGCTGGAGAGACTGCCCTGTGTTAGCCAACATCCAAAGTGTACTCCTCTGCCTTGCTGAAGAGGGTGCCAGGGTGAACCCATGACCCACATCCTCTGTTTCCTTGTTTCTTTACCAGGAAGATCCTTATGTGATGCTCAAGAAGAACGCCAACCAGTTTGAGGGCAATGACCGCTACGAGGGCTACTGTGTAGAGCTGGCAGCGGAGATTGCCAAGCATGTGGGCTACTCCTACCGTCTGGAGATCGTGAGCGATGGGAAATATGGAGCACGGGATCCTGACACCAAGGCCTGGAACGGCATGGTGGGAGAGCTGGTCTATGGGGTATGTTCCTCCCAGGGTGGAGCTGGGGGGCAGAGACAGAGGGTTTGAAGGTAATCATTTGGTGGCTGGATGGTCTTGCACACAAGTGCCTATTAGACCCCATAATTGAATATCATTGCAGCTGAATAGATAACATCAGTCCAAACCCATTGTCTTAAGACATGCTTTGCTCAGGTTCCAGGTCTCAGCATCTCAAGACTTCAGCTCCAAGGTCAATTTTCTCAAGACAGATTGTTGGGTTATCACTGCCCTACTCAAACTATAAATTTCTACTCTGGGATTCGATGTACCTGAATCCAAACTAATTTTCCAATCACTTGCTTCTATAGACCCTCTGGTGCAACTTCCAGTTCAGCCAACCTGTCCCCCCATTCTCCCTGTTCCCTACAGTGCTCCCTGCCATTCTCCACCTCTAAGATCCTCCTCCAAAACCTACCTCACATATGACTTTTGGCAAGCTGTCTTTTCTTCCTCCCTCAATGGGTGCGGACTTCCCTTTGAACTGTTCTTGGCTTTTTTCCCTGTAGAACTTATGAGAATGTCCTTTCCCTGCCTGGTATAGTAGCGATCTGTGGGATAGTGGTAGAGCTACCCCATCTCTATATCACTCACCACACTCGAAATAACTGCATGCACGGTGGCTGTAAAATCTTCAATAAACTAAAGCCGTTTTGAGAAGCCACTGAACGTCCTGCACTTGTTAGTATTTAAGGAGTCACTGAGAGACAAGAGATTCCCCACCAATCTACACATTTTAAAGCAGAAAAGACAATGAGAGAATAGTAAACGAGAGCGTAGAATCAAGGAGTGTGAATTGTATGATTCACATCAGAGCTCATGTGGGTTTCCCTAGCCTTAGGAAAGGGTGCAGAGCTTGGAACATGGCCATAATCAAACCGAAAGAGAGGAAAGCATTTCAGAAATTTCTAAAGTGTACACAACAGGATAGTGGTGGGAGGGAGGCAGCCCTGTCGTTTCGAGGGCTCTGAGTGAGCCAGGTGCAGGGAAGAGCGTGGACTGGTTCAGTGGGCCCTGGGAGAGTGTGGAGGTGCCTGAGGAAGGGAACAGTGAAGGGCAATGGAAAAACATGGTGGCTCTGTGCAGGAAAGGGGCCAGTGTGGCCCCAAACACAGAAGCCGGAAACTCCAGCAGGGGATTTGGAGTGGAAGCGCTGAGGCTGGGCCCCATGATGATGCTCAGTGCTGGTCAGGAGGCAAAAAAACACTTAAAGGAATTGTAAATCTCATCATCTCATAGCAGAGCAAGGTGAGTCTTGAGAATCCGGGGATACACAAAGGGAATTCAAAAAAAAGAAGAAGATGGAGTTAAAAATAAAATAATAAAATATTCCTCAGGGAGAGGGCTTCTGAGACAACCTGTGAAGGTCGCTCATAGGCTGAGGAACGGGCTATGCTTTCCTCTTTCTTCTTTCCTCTGCTGCCTTTCACTTTGGAAGCTCCACTGAGGAAAGACAGAGGTCTGGATAGAGCTTCTGGAGGCTGGTTTCCATGGGAACTTCCACCAAACTCTTAAGGTCATCTCCATGGCAACAGCTGTGAACTTTTCACCTTCCCCAGCATTCATCTTCACCTTCACCTCATGTAATTCAGCCCCTTAGTAAAAAAGCCTGTGATCTGGGCAGAATAACCGTGTGATCAACTGGAGGACAAGCCCCCAGTGCCAGCTGTCAGTGTTGAGTCATTGGCTCATCAGGGCTCAGACAAGCAGGAGTCACCTCTGCATGCCTCCGTGGTTAGTCCTTCCCTTGGTCTCCCCTTGCCAGGGTCTGTCCCTCTTCCCAGTAAAACTGGTTTCCACATTGGGCCCAAATGGCTAACTCTTCCTTTATTTTAAGTTCATCTTTCTTTTTCAACTCCCCTGAGAAAGAACAAAGGGGTTCAGAAAAATATTTCTCAAGCACAAACCATCAGAAAAGTCTGGAAAAAATCATCTAGATGACTCTGAATTTATTCTTTCTTTGCCTTGGGTATAGCTGCTCTCTCTTGTTTTTAGCTAGTAGCAGTAATATTTCATCAAATCACACTGCTCATGTGCCCCATGCTAGGCTATCCTCCTTTCAACCCTGTGAAATAGGTAAGGTCATTTTTCTATTTTATAGATGAGGAATCTGAGGCCCAGAAAAGTTAGATGATTTGGCAAAGGACACACAGCCAATAACAGCAGAGTTGGGACGTACAATTCTGGTGTTTGTACTACACGATAAGACAGACTCTATAGAAATCATAACATCCAAACACTGGACCGTAAAGCCAGTATTAGCCAAGCCAGTGGTGTTCTCAATGAGGAAATGATGCCACTTGTAGCTGGTTTCTGCTTCTTGTTGGGGAATGTTGCTGTGCCTTATTTCCAGATGCATGCCTGTCCATCCTTTGTCTTGGTGAAGCAGAAGGAGAGTGAGCTTTGCAGGCAGACACCTGGACTTGAGTTTCAACTCTGCCAACTTACCAGCTGCATGAGGCCTGCAAGACAGGGAACTCCTCCAAGGTCACCTTCCTGAAACACAGATAGTGAATTCTTTATCACAGAGCCATTTTGGGGATATTCACCTGCACCATGCCTGGCTCAGAGCAGATCTACACCCCCGATAGTTTTATGTATATTTTGGGAATTTTTTTTGGGGGGGGATTGAACTCAGGGGCATTTAACTACTGAGCCACATCCCCAGCCCTGTTTTGAATTTTATTTAGAGACAGGGTCTCACTGAGTTGCTTAGCCCCTCACTGCCGCTGAGCCTGGCTTTGAACTTGCATTCCTCCTGCCTCAGCCTCCTGAGCTGCAGGGATTACAGGCATGCTCCACTGTGCCCTGATTTTTTTTCCCATATCAAAGATATATACCACATTCCCCAATTGCTTTGAAACAAGCATGGCATATTTCATTTTGGGATCTCCTAGGTCAGTGGGTTCTCAAAGTGTAGTCACTGCTTCAACATTGCTGGGAACTTGTTGAAATTGCAAATTCTCACATCTCCGTCCAGATTCATTGAATCTAGAAACCCTGCCATCTATGATTCTGAAAGCCCTCCATGTGATTCTGATGCACTCTCAAATTTGAGAGCCATTGTCCCCAGATGTCAGTTTACAAAAATAATTTCTAGCACCTATAAAATGGTCACACTTCATGGCACTCTCAAGTAGTTGAATTGACTTGACCTTCACCCTCCCCCCAAAAATATGTGAAGTAAGTATTTAAAACAAGAATTATGGTCCCTTTTTTATAAATGCTTAGAGAAATGAATGATCCAAGGACAAACAATTTTAGAAATATTGCTTCCAACATACTCTTCTTGGAAATTGTCAGTGCGTAGTGGTCTTTTAAAAGGTTGAAGGAATCTGCTCTAAAATAACCTGTTTAAATCTGTAATTCCCAAGCATGTTAATTTTCATGTATACTTATTAACACCTTTCCAGAAATATTTCATGGAACGCATTTTTGAACCACTAAATGAACGAAGCATTAAGATAATGTGATTGTTTAATTTTCCAGCCTATGATCCTTTCTGTTCACTCATGTCAGGGAGCATCAGACAAATCCATTTAATACCCTGTACCATGTTCTGAGCTGGTCTGCATTCACCCTGTGGGTTATTTTCAGTCAATTCCTCCAAGTCATTTACATTACATTTCTCTCTCATTCCTTTTCTATGCTAAGTTACAGATAAAAGAGTAGATATCTTCTCCCTTGTACTGATTTGTAAGTATTTGTTAAAAAAAAAAAGTCAAGATTTATGCAGCAGGTGTTGGTGGGGGTGAGGGGAGAATAGCATTACTATGAAACTCACACCTGACTCCTGCAGCATTTTATGGAGTTTTTCTATAAGGGAGAATTTAAGTCATTCTGAAGCCAGGCTTTTTATTCCACTTAAAGCACCTTCTCAGTAGTCCCAGCAAATGAGAGTTACTAGAAGGAATCTCTAAGTAGCAGCCGACTGGTGGTTTGGCAGGACCCTCATCTGCACAGTGTCTGTTCCAAGCTTCACATCTGGGCTGCTATACAGCAGCGTAAGACAAAGCCATTCTTCCCAACAGACTTGTCTAAGCACGTCTCTCATTTCAGAAATGAATGTTGTGGCAACTGTCCATAGAAGCCCTTTTGAGTTTCCAGGATCTCTTGATCTCGGGCCAACAGAGCGCTGGATTTTTATTGAGTAGATGCCAGTGTGTCTGTGATTAGAGGTAAGAATGAAGGAAGAGCAAAGGCCTGGAGATTCCACATGCTGGATATCCAAGGATGAACATTCATTGCAATCTTTTCATGTTCATCCACATGCTGGATTTGAAAATTAAAAATTAAATTAATTGCATATTTCTTAGCAGTTTTTCTGGGGGGAAAAAAGTTGAAAATGTACTGCACTTTCTCACCACCAGGCTCCTACTCTCATGGTCCTTGATTCCTGGCCTGCTGTCCTGTACCAGAGCAACCTGTCATAACTCTACCCTCCTTTAATGCCCAATGTACATGTCACCTGTTCCATGATTCAGTTTCTGATCTCTCCAGCCAGAATGAATCCCTTCCGGGTCTCCTGTAGCATTTTATATCTCTTAGACAACATGCATCCCATTAACCTTACAGACTGGAAAGGTTGTGTATCTGTATATTTGTGTGTATGTGTGTGTGTGTGTGTGTGTGTGTGTGTGTGTGTGTGCGCGCGCACCCACATATTCATGCGTTTTCCCTACCAATTTGTAATTGCAATTGCGTGTGGAGACCATTGCTTACCTTCAGCTTTCAGCCTAGAGCTTATACATAAGTGCTCAATAAATGTTTATTGAGTTAAATTTGCCTTTACCACCTCATTAGCCAGGATAATCTTGGATGCAGGTAAAAGAAATTCAATTCAAAGTGGCTTAGGCAAACAGAAAAACTGGTTCATTTTCTTGGTGACAGATCTCTGAATGTATTGACACATGTTCCTAAGGAGGCCAAGGTAAGGCCTGAATTCAGAGTGGCCCAAGTTACAGAACCAGGGATTATCCTCAGCATCTCTCAGTTCTGGCTGTCAGGGGTAATGCTCAGTAGACTCCCTTGGCTCTAATGCCATCCTTCAGTGAGACTTCCCAGGTAGGGGGTAGAGTATGTTGATTGGCCAGACCTGGGTTATGTGCTTCCTCATGTAACAAGCGTAGCCAGCCCCACTCCAACCTGGGCAGCTGAGAGGAGGGAGGGCAAGGGTGGTTTTCCAGCCATGGCTGCTGGACAGGCAAAATCAACAGACGGAACCACAGCCTCCTTTTTGCAGGATGAAGAAGCCATCTCTGGTAAGTGGAGCTGTCAGATATTAGGATAATCCCTCCAGTAATATATTGAGCTGATCATCCATTTGTCAGGAATAGAGCCAGAGTGGTTGACTTCTAAATTCTTTCCCATTTTCACATCTTTTCAGAGACAAAAGAATATTCACAGTGAAGAGAGAAATGAGAACAAAGAAAGCTGCTGAGCTCAACTGAATTTTATTTATTTATTTTTTTTGCAGAGAGCTGATGTGGCTGTGGCCCCCTTAACGATCACCTTGGTTCGGGAAGAGGTTATTGACTTCTCCAAGCCATTTATGAGTCTGGGCATCTCCATCATGATTAAAAAGCCACAGAAGTCCAAGCCAGGAGTCTTCTCTTTCCTCGACCCCTTGGCGTACGAGATTTGGATGTGCATCGTCTTTGCCTACATCGGAGTGAGTGTGGTCCTCTTCCTGGTCAGTCGCTTCAGCCCCTATGAATGGCACAGTGAAGAGTTTGAGGAGGGACGAGACCAGACGACCAGCGACCAGGCGAATGAGTTTGGGATATTCAACAGCTTGTGGTTTTCGCTGGGAGCTTTCATGCAGCAAGGATGTGACATTTCTCCCAGGTCAGTTCCCTTTTCTCCTTCGTGCTACACAATGCTATGTTTTTCTTGGGGGAAAAAATTACTGGAAATTTAAGAGATGGGAATTATTTCCAGATTTCATTGTTTTCAGTTTTTCTACTCCTCTTTATGGTCCATTGTCCTTTGCATGCTGTGGATTATCTATATGCATCTATGGTTGGGCCAGCATTTTGTACTATCTGATTAATGTGCTCTATGTCAAGATTGATAGGCATGGGGTGGGGAGGTGGCACCCATCTGTAATCCCAGCAGCTCAGGAGGCTGAGACAGGAGAGTCGAGAGTTCAAAATCAGCCTCAGCAAAAGTGAGGTGCTAAGCAGTTCAGTGAGATGCTGTCTCTAAATAAAATACAAAATAGGGCTAGGGATGTGGCT